TGCATCTCTGCTCAAGAACCATCCAGATTCATGCTTTTCATCCCATCCTTAATTGATCGCGGGATACCTCAACCCGGAACTATATATATACTGGCTGCACTGCAAAGGAAAAGGGACGCAAAAAAAAAAAAAAAAGGACGCTCTCAGGGAACTATGGACAGACAGCAGTATAGGAAGTCCAGTCAAGACCGCAGAAGTCAGTTGCGGGGCCTACCGTCTTCCCCGAACACAACGCACCCTGATAACGAATGTATACAAGCTATTTTCCCTGCACGGTGCAGCGAAAATGAGGGTGCGTTGTGTTCGGGGGAAGACGGTAGTCACGATTCAATTGCCAAGGAAACGGGACAGCGATTAACAGCCAGCGTCAGAAAGCGCACGTTAGCGGTTCTGAGAAATTTTTAACACCTTTAGTAAGAAGAAGAAAGCCATGCAGGGCTGCTTTTTTCAATCGACTCCGAGGCAATCTGGAGCTCAGCATTTTCGTCAACGAAAACGGACACTGCACGAGCGGTTTTTGCTCAGCGAGCATAGACCGTTCTATTCCTCACTGGGACGAGGAAGGCCGTCGCAGACAGACATTATAGATAAAATGGTTCTAGAACCCGAAACGGGAAGCCCGTTTTGAACCTAACCATCCAGTCAAAATTGCAAGGGATGAGGATAAAGTGAAAAAGAGTAGTTAGATCAGAGCCCCTGCTGCAAAACAGTACACCCGCTAATGTTGACAAACAGACCTGAGTTCGAATCCTGTCCGAATCACGTAAGAAAAAGTGAATCACGTAAGAAAAAGTGAATCACGTAATCAGGTAAGATAAAGTAACTCTTGAATACCTTGCGCCGGTCTGTTGGTGGCAGGTTACAGCGCAACTTCTAAATATTCGCATGGTGTTCCACCTTATAGGACAACTATGCTCCTTTATCCTTGAGCGTTAACTTCGACTGAATCCGAAAGATATAAAGCATTCCTTCACGAGCCGTAAATGGACCAGGATGACCAGGCCAGACGAAGACGGCAGGCAAGATGGGGATAGCTCAGAAAAGCAGCAGTGTGTGATAGGTACACACAGATGACCCCAGCCACCTAGATACGTTCTTCTTCATTCCCCATCTTCTCCCCTCTACAGACGCTTACGTGTCCTCATTAATCAAACAATCCCGCTCGTGCACTCATCCCTACTACATTCAATAACCCTCGTAAATACTTACCACGTGCAAGGCTTCAACACCCATCATACATTCCATCGCCTTATTCACAGAAACGCGCTGGTCATAACCACAAAGTTCAGGTGGAGACACAAAGCCTGCCTATGGTTTAGGGTTTCTGCGTGCACGTACTAACCTCCAAAAAGAACCTGAACCATGTCCAAGAAGGACGAAGGTTTTACAAGCAAACACGCGCGCGCACACACAGAAGCACACTACCGAAGTCCGTTGAACCTGACTCCGAGCGAAAGATGGAGAGCAACATCTGTGCACACATCGAGTTGTAGTATTGGTTACGCAAAAAAATGTATGACTCTGTGAACAGAAGAAAACGCGCTAAATACTGACGAGGATCGGAGGTCATAAATACAAACGAGCCACGATGGCTCCTGGAAAAGGCACAATGCAAAGAACCTGCACATGCCAAGTGTACGTCACACTTCGTCCTAACCGAGAAAGAATTCTAAGAAAACGCTGGCACAAAGACTGCCTGCTTGACGCACTTCAACTCGCTTCCTCCAACTTCAGGACTACATAAATCCGACAAACTCGACGATTTCTCTCATCGAGATCTGAAACCTCCTCTTCGTATCAATTTCCCATGGCGGTATGAACGAGAGAGACGGCCGGTAGATAGTAGTAAACTAATACGATCGTGTTAAACACAAGCGAATCCGTTTGAAGCCCCTGTTAACTCTCGAATGGCATCAAAAACCCCAGGCATCTCCCTACCTTTCCCTACATACAAACACAAGCGAAGCGGCTTGAAACAGACAGCTCGGATTAAGCACAGCATCAGGCGATGCCAGGCGAACGGCGGGAAATATCGGCCTCAGGCACCTAATTAATCAGAGTGAGGACCCTCCAAAATCCCTCCAAAACTAACTCAGATCTAACCTGAGTCCGTTCGAGGTAAGCTGCGGCGGGGAGGTTTCTCACTCTCGACTAAACCTATGCCACTGGATCAGATTGATGCCGTCCAAATCATTTTTTTGCTACGCGATGACGATTCGGGTCCTGCATCCCGACCGCCGACAGAGAGAACAGTTCAAATAAACCACTCACCTCCTGTCAAGTGTAAGACATTCCGCTCACTGATAAGCCACTCAATTGCTGTCCAGTGTAAGGCCGTCCGCTCACTAATGAGCCACTCAACTGCTGTCGTGTAAGACACTCCCCTCACTAGCTTTCCTCTCGCATCCCCCAACCTTTCGAACCCTGTCCCTCTCTTCCCACCCTTCCACCCCTCCTATGCACCGCCTACCTTCCCTCCCTCCCTCTCTCTTCGATGCTCCATCGATTGGCCACATACAGTAGTAAGTACGTCGCACATGTCCCCACCTAGCCCAAATCTAGAATGCCCCGCTTCCTCCCCTTCCTCCACGCACAGATATCTCGGATTAATTCCCCGCATCTGACCAACTGTGAAAAGCAGAAGAGACGGAGAGACACCACACGGGCACAAGGACAGCAAAGGAAGCTTGTCGCGGATATTTGCTTGGAACATACTAGTAATTGCTTCTCCGCAAAAAAACAACCTACAATGGCCAACAAAGCTCGACCGGCACCGCCATCTACAAAATGACACCCAAGGCCGCCGTCTGTCTAAATGCAGCTGCGCCATCAGATGACGAGGACAGTACCGACTTCAGCGAAAAAATCACCGCCGAAAATCTAAATCAAATCAAGCAAATGACGACCTGCAAGTGGGCCCAACAGATCTTTAATTTTCCTCGAAGTAGCAAGTACCTTCGTCCATTCCCATTGACCGAACCACTAACCAACAACACACGCGATCGGCAGATGAACCGACTTCTATCTACCAAATGACTGGTCCATAGAAATCCGATATCCAAAAAAAAAAAAAAAAACCCGATATTGCATCTCGTTGATTCACACCACGGAGAAAATTGGAAACTAAAAGCAAGACAGCTAACTGAAATCGTCCTCAAGACAGCCTGCGATCAGTTGGACCGGGGTATTATATCTCGTCCACGCCCGGCGATCAATTCGCCATCACATACGAATACTTAACATTCGTCAATAAATCAACAGAGCCCGTCGACTACAAAACTACCCACCCAATGACCTAACTAGGGAAACAAGTCATCAGAACATACATACACTCGTATCCGTAGAGACCGACAGGGTAGCTTTGCCAACGCACATGGAGACGAGAAATGAGTGAGCGCACACTTTCTCGTGGAAACAGTAACCGCGCTGCGACCAAAACATAGAGCGCAAACAACACTCCACTTACAGATGGCTACGCAAACGAAATGCCCGCTGCTACAAAGCAAGTCCGACGACCAAAAGAACAGAAACAAGCTTGACTGACGAGTTACCTGAGTCGAAACATGAGGAAATATGTACATTATAGCCGACTGACTAATCAACGGATTAATCCGTCGATCGGTCGACCGGCCTATTTACTACCTGGGTCGAAACAGAACGTGTCCTGGGCAAAATTACAAATTAAGTGCCCTAAAACGATGAGAACACGGCCACAAAACGGACATACGAAAACAAGCGAAAGCAGGTGGGCCTTACAAGCCCACGGAAAAGGGCTACCTACTCCTCTTCATTCCGCCCTCCTCCAATCAAATCTACGTCCTCCTCCTCTTCATACCGCCCTCTCCCAATCAAATCTACCTCCTGGCTCCTCTGCCTACGATTAACGAGCGGTCCTTTCAATCGCCTTATCTCGTGATTGAACCACTTGCGTTGATCTATTTGTCGATTTACCTTGTCTTTCGTTATTCCCTTGCATTGATTTTCTTAGACTCTCATAATCTTCCGCCGCCATAGACTTCCCTCATGGTTTCAATTCCTTGCTTCTCCATCATATCCTTTCACTCCCTGCGCATCGCCAGCCCCCGCCAAATGTCCCAATCTTCACTAGGTTTTCAGCTCCAATCAATCTTCCTCTCATGGCAATCTGATCGATCCGACCGGACATCAGAATAGCAGTCCAGAGCTCCCCTAGGCACAACCCTCTTTCCTTCCACCCTCGATACCACAGCAGCCTTCTCCAACATCGGCGATTCCTCTACACTCACGCATGTCTTTCCTTCCACCCTTAATCGCACAGCACCTTTCATATGTCTTCTGTTTTGGTTACAGTTGACAAACTCCCTCTCATCTTCCCGCTTCGGCGGCAACTGTTACTCGCCAAAAGTTTCGCCGGTCAGCCGTTCACAGTCACAAAGTCTCACATAATCATCACTCCCTCCCTTCCCATCATAAACGCTACTGCGTGCAATAAGCTTCCTCCCCACACGCTAAAAGATTTCTCAAACCGCTATACGACGATGATGACGACGTTGGTAGTTCGTCGTGTTAACGAAAGTGAGGTGAGAATATATGTGCCACTCGAGCGAGCTTGGTCTCGGAGACACAGCTGATACGCGGAATGCTCTCTCTCTCTCTCTCTCTCTCTCTCTCTCTCTCTCTCTCTCTCTCTCTCTCTTTTTGAATAGATATCCGTGTGCATTGCCGCTTACTCGGGCCGGACCTCAGTGGGTCACGAGACAGGACGAGGAATCCCGACAGCAATGGCGACTACGCCGACACCGACGCAAGGAGAGGATGGGAACAAGGTACTTCTCGATCATTCGACCGCAGCATATGTCATCCGGTCAAGGAGAAACAGAAAAGGAAAGGAAGAGATTGTTCTAAACATCTTGCGAAAGGAACAAGAGAGACCAAAAAGATTGATCGGTGGGGAAGCCGGGAGGAGCAGATGACATCAGTTAGGGGCGTGGACACCTCGTAGAAAGCATCATTTCACTCACCTCTTTATGTACGACCGCCACGTGGCAGGATCAATCGTATGTAGTAGTAGAAGCACAGGCCACTTGGCTCTCAAGCGCGACGCCTTCGCACGAGAGAGTTCCGCAAGCGATGGCGCACACCCGGAACGAGCACTTCGCTAGCGCCTCGCGTTGCCAGTTCCGGGACGGCGGCGGAGAATCGGAGATTCGTCGGGAGTTGTCGTTGTCGGTTTTCCAATCCAGTCCAGAAGGCTCAACAAACTGATCGTCTTGCCACCGTCGCCTCCCGCACTCAACAAACTCGTGGACTCACCAACCCGGCCTCCCTCCAACTCCACTTCGGTGGTGAGTGCTAACGGACTGAGGGCATACTCACACAGGGACTTTTCTTACTACGCTCTGGACGTTTTCGCCGTCAGATTCGTCCACGTCTAGCCATAATTATGCTCACATACATTTAGGAAAGTGCCAGTGTGGGTATGCCTTTGCCTTGATTTAACGCGAGGGAGGAGACCAAGCCTATCGCCGGGCCGCGAGTCGAGTGGCGGTGGCAGGACAACAGGGAGGCCCGACTGTCGACGTCGAGGTGCGAAAAAGGCACCGGCGGGCGAAGCCTCGTGCAGCTCGATAGCAGACAGTTCTTGCTTGCCCAGCAGCGTGCAGGGAAAGAGCCAAAAGTTTTGTGCGAGGTCATTTTGGCAAATTTTTAATTTTCGCCTAGATTTCCGAATACCCCTATTATTTGAGATATTCCAAAATGCCCCTAAAAGATGTCGAGTAGAGCGAAATGCCCTTTTGGCCTAATTCTTTGTGTTTGCCGCTGTCAGGCCGGTCTGCAACTTCGCAATCTGGACCTCGTCGTTGCCCCTTGGGCATGGCAAACCGGGTGGGCATCTTTGTCCAAAACCCAGGCCCATAGGCACGGCACTTCACCTCCCAGACAACTTTCAAACTCGTTCAGGAGTCTCTGCCACTGCCTCATGCCGTGTTCGATGGCACCATCGTTTCGGCTTCGCCCTTGGAAACTTCTTCATCGCTAACTCCTCCCCCACCATTCCTCCAAGTTATCCTCTTATGTCATGTCAGCATCTCCAATCTTCTCTTGCCCACCACTCCTTCCACGTCTCCCTTGCCAGTTGATGCACTTCTGTTGTTTGGTAAAAAAGGTGGTGGAGTGGAAAAAAAAATAGCAACACCACCATTTTAGTATTTATTTTTTTAATAAGAAAAAAAAAAACAGGTTGTTGTACAGGCCGGGTATCGACCTGGGTGGATATTGTCATAGGAGCGCTGGAACGAAAGTTTCTCAGTAGGCGACCAACCCAATACTATTTTGGTCACCGAATCAGAAGTTCTCGGATGAGGTATGTCCTAGTGAGGGGTATTCCATTGGACCCACTCGCAGATCACACGTCGGTCAGGTTCCACATCACCATCTTTACCTCTTTTTCTCCCTCGTTGTCATTTTTTTCCCAATTTATTATCGCCCTTCATTTCCTCTTCTTCTCCTTCTTTTTGCATTTCATAGTTCCTTGCATTTATAGCCTCCTCATCTTTTTTTTGTTGCTTGTTCACGAACAGCATTGTTAATGATTTGGAAAAAAAAATGGAAAACAAGAAAATAAAGGAGAGGAAGGAAAAACGAAATAGAAGGAATAACGAGAAAGAAACACGTCTCAATTTCAAAACCTTCGATGTACTCACATTTAAAAGAAAAAAAAAAAAACTCACACTATTGTCTCCCCGGAATAAAATGTACATTCATTATCTATATCTACATTCATAATGGTCGTGCATTTTCTTTCAGGGCAATATCTGTTATGTAACCGAGATTGTTTTTTTCTTTTTTTTCTCGAAACAATAGTTCTTTGACACGGTTTAATTTTAATCATGTTCTATGTGACCGTTATGATACTTCCTTCGATATGACTTTTCTTTCGTTAAAAAAAATATTTATTGATACCTCCCAGCTTCTTGCCCGGTCCTAAAAGATATGTTATAATGATAAAATTGTAATTTTTAAAATAATAAGAAACAAAGCGTATATAGAGGTTGGTTTGGTTAATATCAAAAAAGCTCGTATGTATAAAGTAGTCGTAGGCTGCAAACTACGAATTTGTTTGTGAGGACATGGAGGACCACACAGAAAGAAATTTTTATAAAAATGTTTTGGTTCAAGATAATAATAATAAGAGAAAATATAAAAGGTAAATTTCATATTTAACTGCCTTATAAGTGCAAAATGTATATACTCGAGTCAATATCACACGAGCATAGTGATTACATTCAATGTCTGAATTCGACTATTTTAAAAAAAATGCAAAGAGATGTCAATATAAATAACATTCTGATCCATACGGTAAATATAAATTTTTCTCCTATCAAAACTTCACCAAATATGCGTCAATTCTTTAAGAAGAGGTGATTTTTAATTTTTATTTTTTATCAATATTTTCGAGTCACTGTAATGAACAATATATTGTTTGTCACAGTATGCAATTGGTCATGAAGGAGCGATGTCACAAATTAACTGAAAATGGGGTGAAAAAACACATTTGTGCACTTTCCTCAGTACATGGAAAAAACAACCATATCTATGCTTACTATATCGGAAAGGAGATAAACCCTACAACAGAGAAACGAAGGAACGGGAAAAAAAAAAAACTAAAAAAAAAAAAAGAGAGATAAAAAGAAAAAGAGAACAAGAAAGAGAGGTAGACTTAGGCTAGTTGGTTTACAAAGAATGTTGGATTAACATTTTTTTTTGACAAAGGTCGAAGCCACCTTATCTCCCGAATACAAGAATTAATACTTTACCTACAGTTCTAGCATAAATACAAACGCATTTGGATAACATACTATGTCAAACTTTGCTCATCACATGAAATATTGATTGATACTATAATACATACTATTTTAAACATGAACTAAAATGAAGTAAAAAAATACATTTGTTCACTTTCCCCAAGAAATGAAAAAAAAACCACCTCTATCTTGACTATATTAGAAAGGAGATAAACCCTACAACAAAGAAATAAAGAGACGAAAAAAAAAAAAAAAAAAAAAAAAAAAAAAAAAAAAAAAAAAAAAAAAAAAAAAAAAAAAAAAAAAAAAAAACAAAACACACACACATAGAAAGAGAGGTAGACTTAGGCTGGTTGGATTACAAAGAATGTTAGATTGATCTCTCGAATACAATACTTAATATTTTACCTATAATTTTTACATAAATATAAACGCATTTGAACAACATACTATTTCACACTTCATTCATCACGTGAAATATTGATTGATAATATAATATATATTATTTTAAACATAACCCCATTTTGTATTTTTTGTTGTGCGTCAACTGTCATTAATGATGCACTATATTAGCAATTACGACAAGTATCATAGTTTCATTTTGTTACATGGTGGGAAAAACAAATCACGCAAGATTTCGCATTTTATCCAAACTTTATTGCAATGACGCTATGTAATCCTGATCCTTCTCTATGTGGTCGTGATGATGCTTTGTTCGTAATTTTTTTTTTTTTCGTGAAACAAATGGTTTTTCGCTACCCCTCGACACCTTTTCCAATTTTAAAGAATGTGATATGGTGATAGAACAATCATCATTTTTCATAAGAATAAGCAACATGATATATATAGAGGTTTGGTTCAAATCAAAGGAGTTTATATTTACGAGGTAGTGTATAGAGGTTGGCGTGATTCATATCAAAGAAGTTCATATATACGAGGTAGTCTTAGGCTGCACACAATGAATTTTTGTTGAGAGGACAGAGTCGCCTACATCACCTTGTCACCTTGTTTGATCGGACGGCGCGGCCGTGCGAGGATCAGCAAAGGGTCAAACAAAACCCTATATGGAAAAAATTCTATAAAATATGAAGAAAAAAAATATATATATATATATATATATATATACAGTGTTACCAGACCGAACGTACGGAGGCCTCTAAGCTGACTCCCGAACGTTCGGGAGTTTGGGTCCCCGTACGGGGCCTTAACCTTAAGGGGTTCGGGCCCCGCAAAAAAAATATTTTCACACCTAAATATTGTTATTTTTTTCTGAATTTTAGTTTTGTGAGTTATTTGGGATACAAGGGACATCCCCCTAAATTTTGAAGTCATTCTGCTTAGCCAAAAAAAAAATGAAAAATCGGCAAAGATGATGGTGTCGAAACTTGCTTGCCCACTCACTAATTTGTTTTTTTTCTCTTTTCACTTTTTGTTTTTCCTTTATTTCGGGGCATGAACAAAATTATTATTTTTCAAACTTTATTTGTAGTTTCTCTTTTATGTAATATACACATATATAAATTTTCATTGCATTTTTCATAGTCAAAATAAAATGAAAAATCGCCAAAGATGGCGGTGTTAAAAACGTGCTCGCCCACTCAATAATTTCATTCTCGTTTTATTTTTTCTAATTGTCATTATTATTATTTATTTTTAATATTTTATTTTTATTTTAAGTTTGGTAAATAATTTGGATGTAACATTGAGGCAAATGTTGTTTAGTTTATTCTTCTGCATAACATATTTTTTTTTCATATTTTTTTGAGGTTTTTTTTTTTTTTTTTTTTTTTTTTTTTTTGGTTCGCATTCGGCCAAACGCCTGAACGTGTCGAGAGGGGGTGCCGAACGTTCGGGCATTCGGGTTCGGGCGTTCAGCCCGTCCCGAACGCCGGCAACCCTTTATATATATATATATATGATGCACACAAATGAACAAAATAACTTTTGCATCACGGTTGTATCGATTATTTTTTTTTAATATAATATGAAAAATAAAATCAAAGAGTAAATTTTTAATTTATTACTTTTTTTTTTTTTTTTTTTGTCCGGTCGGACAACTTGCCTTGCCCCTTTGGTAACCTAAAGAAACAAGGTAGTAAAGGGACCATTCGTGCAACGTTGATACAAGTGTCATTTTTTTGACTCTACAGTTCTCCACATTATGTTACTTGTGGCCCTCATGAGCTTGTGTTACCGATCTCCCAATTTTTTTTCTTCAGTGGAATGAGTGATGGTTTAAACAGGTTGTTGTACAAAGGTTGTTTCATAAATTTTTTTTTTTTTGCCAAGGTCGAAACTTTTTTGTCTCCCAAGTGCAACACTTAATACGACACATGCAATTTCAATATACA